GCATTGGGGTCTTCTGCCCACCAATAGGAAATGATAACAGCCTAGCATGTGCTGTCATGGGTCTATATGTTCTGCTTTTAAAGACATAGATGTTATGAGGAAAGCCTGAAATCTAACTTGGAAAATAAACTGGCACATTGTTTTGTGTGATGAAGCAGTGCTTTGTGTTCTAGGTGACTATCTGGGTGGGGAGGCATACTGGGCAGGCGGTCTGCACCTCTACACCCCTCTACCATTAAGACCTGGCAAAGGAGGCTTTGGAGATCTTTTTAGAATGCACTTCTTTCTTAACGCTGGTAACCTCTGCAATCTCAACTACGGTGGGTGGAAGTGATGTGATACTGAACACAACTAGGAGTCTTGACCGTTTCAATTTGATGAATTTGTCTCCCACATTTGGTTTTGTATCCTCTCTGTTGTTTCTGTTGGTGATGTGTGGTGGTTTCATGTTTTGTGCAGGCAGTGGTCCCCACGCACACTTTCAGAAACTAGTCGAGTGTATCCGCTGGTCATACGGAGCAGGTATTGTGCTCCGGCTTGGAAACATCGCCAGGCTAGAGCTCAACTACTGCGTGCCGATGGGAGTTCAGAGTGGAGACAGGTACATTTTACATTTACTGTTGTGATGAACAAAAATACAACAATCTCGTGGAATTAAAAAAATGTAAAGCTCCTAAAGAGCAAAAGGATTTTCATCCCATAGTTTTAACATTATTAATAATGAAGACATTCGAAAGACTTCTTAAAAAGGAAATATTGCTTCAAGTCTAGAAATACTTGGATCCGATGTAGTTTGCATATAGAACCCCTGGAAAAAATTATGGAATCACCGGCCTCTGAGGATGTTCATTCAGTTGTTTAGTTTTGCAGAAAAAAAGCAGATCACAGACATGACATAAAACTTGTCATTTCAAATGGCAACTTTCTGGCTTTAAGAAACACTAAAATAAATCAAGGGAAAAAATAATGTGGTAGTCAGTAACGGTTAATTTTTTAGACCAAGCAGAGGGAAAAAAATTATGGAATCACTCAATTCTGAGGAAAAAATTATGGAATCATCCTGTAAACTTTCATTCCAAAAACCAACACCTGCATCAAATTACACCTGGCCATAATTTTTGCCAGGGGTTTTAGATCAGAGAGAGGTGTGGAGGATGCTACCATCACTCTGTAGAATTTTCTCTATAAACATCTGGAAGACTTGGTGGACTTCTCATACACCTTCAGTACAATAAAACCTCAAAATTTGTTACATAAACTTTTAACTCAGCTCAATATTTGTCCTAGTTTAATAAGGACTTTTTCATACACAGACCCCAGCAGGTTAAAGTAAATGATTATTTATCACCATCTCTTTTTTTTCTATTGGTTCTCCACAGGGCTGTGTCTTGCCCCCCCTCCTGTTTGTTGTCTAAACAAATGGCTGTAGTAGTGTCTATCCAAAGTGACACATCCTGAAATTTGCTGACGACACAGTGATCGTTAGTCTGTTGCAGGATGTGGAGGCTGAACACGGCCCTGTTATTAATGACTTTGTTCATTGGTGCGTTCAAATGAATTTAAAACTAAACACTGCAAAAACGAAGGATATGAACATTGACGTCCGCAAAACACCTCAGCGCCCACCCCCAGTATTTATTAACAACACAGAAATTGAGTCTCTTGTAAACTATAAATACTTGGGATTAATAATTGATGATAAGTTAGCTTTTAATTTGAACACTGTACAATAAAAGTACTGAACTGAAAGAAAGTTCATCATTGAGATCTATCATATTGTCACTGATAAGTCCTAACAGGATGTCCCCTTTGTCCTGTAGGATATGTGATGGTGTCCAGTTTGGAGCAGGAATCCACTTCCTGTGACCTCGTTCACAGCCTTCACACCTCCAGCAGAGTTTGATGTGAGAAGGAAGAGTGTTTCTGTCATTTTTCACCTGTAACTTGTAAAGTGTGGAACAATAGCATGGGCCTGTGTTCTGGGGAAATGAGCCTGACCTCCCCAAATCTTCACCATAGATGCACCACTAAAGACTCTTTGGTACCAAAGTGCCAGTGTTGGGCTGTACAAAGTCAACATCAGTTTAAGGTCAAACATCATCAGAAATAAGGATTTTTTTTTTGCACTGTCACTATAAGAAAAGTGAGGGGACCTTCAAAATATTCTGCCATATTTTTTTCATCTTTGTTTTACAGCCTTGCTTTGTCAGTAGTTGGTGAAACTCTTTGTTTTCCCAAACTGTTTCCTGTCATGACATAATTAAAGGTTCGCAAAAATGTTCTCAGTCCTTCCTTGTTGCTGAGTTGATTGTAAGCCACATATTGAGAGTGAGTAACTGATGGGACAGCCAGGACGATGAGCCCAGAGAGACCAGCACCTTCTTAATC